CACACTTGACTCTACCACACTTGACTCTACGACACTTGACTCTACGACACTTGACTTTACCACACTTGACTCTACGACACTCTCTTTAGACTCTCTATAGACTCTCTATAGCCGACACTCATGGCCCCAAAACTCATGGCTAATGATGCTTTCGGGCCACTCGTCTTCTAGTTTTCATCTTGAGCCATGTTTGATGCGCGGGCATTGGCTTCTGTGCAAACAACACCTCTTTGGAAAGCTAGTTCCACGCATACACTCAAACATCAGAGCACCTATCCAAACTACGAGCGATCAGTACCAACACTCCTCCTTGGATTGAATGCTGCAGCACTCAACCCACTTGCCGGTACAGCATATCGCGAGCTTGGCAGTAGGCGCATAGAGTGACCTTCTTACGACGGGTCACGGCGTTGCGAAGCCCTCTGCAATTCGGTTCATGGTGCACGCAATCTCCATAAACGGTCCAGGATATTCACGGAAACCATGATCCCAGTCCTCTGTTTGCACACCCACCGAAAACATAGAGGTCGATTGAGATCTCCTCGTAGACCCGGAGGGACGCTCCGGCGTCCCTTTGGCTCCGCAAAACCCTCCCGGAGATCTGTGGATCGGCTCCTCTGAGCCGCTCATGGTTGGAAGGGTTCGCTGAATACGGGTCCCTTCTCTCAAAGGAGTCTGCGGTTCATCTGCAGCTAAATCGTCCAGGCGGTAACGCTCAACCTCCTGCTGAACTGCTTGCTGTAGTTTCCGCAGTCGTCGGGCCCCTCTTGATTCCGAAACAGAACCCAGTCGCCTAAGCCCGTACCACTCACAAATCCACTTGATCGCCTCCCAAACGGCAATAGCTGCAACTAGACAAAGGGCTCCTAGTCCATACAGCTCCCAAGGGAAACTCACTTCCAAGCCAGTTCCACGAGAACTTGTTGATGAAGCTCCAGAGGTCTGCAACAACCACCCAAGAAATACAACCAGTCTAACCAACAATCCTGCTATCCCATTAGCTGCCGGGGCTGTTGGGGGAGTGACTGCTGGGGCTGCTGTGTTGCTGGAGTGGTTCTCAGCCGTTGCTGCTGCAAGTTGTACTCCTTCAGCTCGGTCATCACGATCTCGCAAGCTCCAAAGGTCTCGTAACTCTTGAAGCCTTGGCTTACAGAATGCCTTTGTGCCGAGGTCGGCTAATTGACGTTGTCCAGGAACATGCCGCACTGTAACTTGCTGGAGTCTTGATCCAAACCGAGCTGCCGATGGATTCTTGTGTCCGTTACATTCGCCTGCTGTTGAGCGGCTGCTGTGTCCGCTGCGAACGGCCACCATGACTTCACGCGCTCCTCCTCGGCCTCTGACAGGTCACTGGCCTGGGAAAGCAGTACTCTCATGCGACCTTTCAGATAACCCACGGCACGTTCCGCAGATCCGTTCTGTAACGGGTCGTCACCCTGAGTACGCGTCAACTCGATGTCGCGAGATGCCGCCCAAACTTCCAAGGCGGCAGATTGAAACTCGCGAGCTCTGTCCATGTGAAGTCGATTGACAGGGAACCCAGAGGAACGGAGCTGGATATAGAACTCCTGGATGACCTTCAAGGCCTCAGCCTTTGTTCTGGTCCTCAAAGGGCGTGTGAGATAGAGGTTCATGTACTCTAAGGGCTCGGCTAGCTCCTTAAGCTCCTCAATCTCCTCATCCATGCCAGTTCCATCCCCAACTTCCAAACCGTCACCCCTTCCTTCTTCAACAGGATCATCTCCGTCAATTGGCCCAACACCACCACCATCGTCGCCATCAAAGAGCCAATCACCACCATCCTCCGGAGCCTTTGGTTCGGATCCGACCCCCTCAGCATCTAAGGAATCCGTCTCACTCTTCATTCCCGCTAGCCGAGGCAGACGATAACATCCCACCAAAAGGTACTTGTAGCCGCCAATTCCTTTGGTCCTGAAAGGACCTGCTGTGTCAATTGATAACGCATAAGCAGCTGGATGGCGTACTCGACGATGAGGACGTCCACTTGATCGTTCTACGCAGACTTTACAGTCGCGCCTGTACGGCAAGTGGTCCCGTTGGAGGTGGAGTTTCCAATCGCGAACATCAAGCTTCGCGACATGAGCTTCTTCATTGATATCCATCCAAGACCTCCGCGTGAGAGAAGCTAGGACTCCTTCTCGATTTCGAAGTCGCTTCCAGGCCCTCAAAGATCGCGCTAAATGCGCCACCAACTCCAAAGGCCATCGTTGAGCGCCAAACGCTCCCATATCACCGCCTTGCAGATGCCATAGATCAAGGTTTCCTCCCAACACCGTGGGCCGCCCATTGATCTCCAGTTGCACCTCGCCCATCAGTGCATCCAAAGCAAACATCTTCCACAAGGACGTTTGGAACAACGAAACATGTTCCTGGCACTTAGCCTCTGGGTGCTCCAGCAGAAAGGCCACATGCGGCTTCACGGTCGGTGTTTGAAGCAGTCCCTGCCGCCATCGCTTGCACCGGCCCTCCTCTGCCATGTACCATAGTGCCATCATCCTCACCACGAGCTGCAATTCCTTATGGTACTGGTCCTGAGAACGTGCACCTTGAGAAGGAGTTGGAATCATTTGGCGTGGCGGGCCACCAATCACCGCCTTGATCCGTCCGGAAAGAGCAGCCCAAGCCAGAAGCTTGAAGATATTGTCCTGCTTATTCAAGTCCATGGAGCGTGTGGCCGTGATATCCACCTCCACCAAAACTTCTGAGCCTGACAACGCTTGCTGCCAAAAGGATTTTCTCATAATCGCTTGGGTCTTGGAGTCCGAAGTCTTCTCATCACCAGCAAACAAATGCACCACCCAACCATCACTCTGGTACATCTGTTTTCGCTTGGCTCTTGGCCACGGAGCCCCCTTTAGCAGCTTCCAGCCATCTCGAGGGTCACACGGTACTGCTTCCGGGATTCCGAGCAAGGCCTCAGCATCCACACCCGCAAACGTAGGACATCGGTGAAGGAAACCAGCCATTGAAGTCCTCGTCCCATCCTCACATAGAGTTGCCATGACCAACCATCTCGCCCTTGATCTCGAACCATATTCACTTGCCTCCTCAAGTCTTCGATGGAACTCTCAAACCGTTTAAGGCGAGCGGCTTCAAGCTCAGAGATCAGCTTGAGGGCTTGACTCACAGGCAGCACAGGGCAAAAGCCCTTCAGGCGGACCTTCAACTTCCCGTGAATGGGATGCTGGACCACCACAGCCTTGAGGGTGTCCAATGGACCGAGCAACCCAGAAGAGTCACAAGCTGCCCCATTGGTAATATTGGAGAACCTTCCAGATCTTCACTGAGCAACGTGCCGGCCGGGTTCTGCTTTAGCAAGGTTTCCTCTCCCGTTGCCAATGATACAGCAACCTGCTGGGCACGATCCCACTCCAACTGTGAGGTCGCGCACCTCAGCGGATGGGTAGCCCCGCTGTCAAGTAGAGCTTCTTGTTCTCCTTGACCCAAAACCACCGAAGACGCTCTCAACCTCGCCTCGTACATCGCAACGGCACTCTGAAAACCCATGTTCTCACCTGCATCGGTCTTGACCACCAGAGTCCTGAGACCGCGTATCTCATTGATCTGCTGCTGAATCATAGCCAACGGATCCAAAGCTGCTGGCGCTGACGTTGCAGGTGGTGGTTGCGCTGAAGATGCCGCCTTAGGAACGCCAAGTGACTTCAGAACCCTGTTCGTCTCATTAAGGATCTCCGAGACCTGCGCCGTGTCCAACGAAGAGACCGTAGCCGAAGCCGTTGAAGGTGCTGTAGGCGTTGTCGCTGCTGCGCTTGCTGTAGATGCTTCAATACCTGGTGGTGGCGGCGGTGGAGATTTGTAGGGCAGTGAGGAGGAAGAGCCCATAGCAGAACTCGCCGCCCCTTGCGCCTTTGCCATACCAGCTCGCCCAGCCTTATCAGACGGTGACGACTTGCGGGCCGGACACTCTTTCATCCTGTGCTTGGTAGACCCACAAAGCAAGCATCTATCTGACCTTTGGAGCCCATCCCAAGAGTGCTCGTAGGTGCAGTCCTTTCCCCTCCGGCAACCATCTTCAGTGGCAAAGTATTTGCATGGCTTCTCCGCAGCAGACTTTGCCTTGGCCTTTGGCGTTGCATCGCCGGGTGTCTGGAGGCCCTTCAAGGTAGTGGTCGCAGTAGAGGTCGTTCCCGATGTAGCAGAAGCACTCGTAGAGGTTGTTGGTTGGTTGGTTCAGGCACCAAGGGAAACCCTTGCGCCGCCCACACTCTTCCCCCCCCCCGCATCTCAGGGCAGCTCCGAAAGCGTCACTGCCGCCCTCCGCGGCGGGTTCAAGAGGGGGTAATAGTGCAGCCACGGCGCCATCAGAGGATGGGAGAAGGGAGGGGCGGAGGGAGGAGGAACGCGTCTCCGAGTAAGCAAAGAGCAACCCTAGCTTGGACCTGGAGCGGACAGGATCCTTCCGAGTAAGCAAAGAGCAACCTCCGCCCTGAGGCTAGAACGGGG